GCTCCAGTGGCAGGGTTCGCATGGCGGCGCCGCTTCATTTTGGCGCACCCCTGAGAGATTCGTGGTCCCATAGGGAGCTCCACCGAAGGCCCCAGTGGCAGGGTTCGCATGGCGGCCCCGCTTCATTTTGGCGCACCCCTCACACAGGTCGTGGTTCCATAGGGAGCTCCACCGAAGGCCCCAGTGGCAGGGTTCGCATGGCGGCCCCGCGCCATTTTGGCGCACCCCTCACACGGTTCGTGGCCCCATCGGGAGCTCCACCGAAGGCCCCAGTGGCAGGGTTCGCATTGCGGCCCCGCCCCATTTTGGCGCACCCCTCACACGGTTCGTGGCCCCATAGAGGGCTCCACCGAAGGCCCCAGTGGCAGGGTTCGCTTGGCGGCCCCGCTTCATTTTGGCGCAACCCTCACACGGTTCGTGGCCCCATAGGGAGCTCCACCGAAGGCCCCAGTGGCAGGGTTCGCATGGCGGCCCCGCTTCATTTTGGCGCACCCCTCACGCAGGTCGTGGCCCCACAAGGAGCTCCACCGAAGGCCCCAGTGGCAGGGTTCGCATGGCGGCCCCGCGCCATTTTGGCGCACCGCTCACGCGCTTCGTGGCCCCGCTGGGATTTCCCCTTGCTTCGTCCCACCTGCCCTGCGGTTCTCACACTTGCGTATGGTATGGGAGGAGGAGGAGGAGGAGGAGGAGGAGGAGGGAGGAGGAGGAGGAGGAGGAGGAGGAGGGAGGAGGAGGAGGGAGGAGGAGGAGTAAGAGTAAGAGGGAGGAGAGGAGGAGGAGGAGGAGGAGGAGGAGGAGGGAGGAGGAGGAGGAGGAGAGGAGGAGGAGGAGGAGGGGAGGAGGAGGAGGAGGAGGAGGAGGAGGAGGAGGAGGAGAAGGAGGAGGAGGAGGACAATTGGTTACTCATCCCTGGACGTGCCTGGGGCACGGCGGCGGACCTCCGGTGCGCCCGCGCCATCTTAGGTGCCGGGCGGCGACCGCAGCTGGCGGCGCGCGGACGCTGCTGCTGCTGCTGGCGCTGGCAGCGGGGTCGCCGTGCGCGGCCGTGGCGTCCTCGGCCTATCGTCTGGACGGGCACGGGGCGTCGGGGGAGAAAAAGATACGGATACGTGTTGTCCCCCTTCGTTTTCGGCCTTTCCTGGTCCTCCCGGGGAATCCTCGTTGTCACCGCTGGATTCGCCTCGAAATTCTGGTCAGAACGCACCCCAAGAGAGGTCCGGGGACAACACGTATCCGTATCTTTCCGCCCCCCAAGGGCGTGTCTCCAGACCTCCTCGCGCTGTGCAATTATGCTAGCGGAGTTCCCCACATAGGGATGTGGAGGGCTCCGTGGGGTCGAGGAGGCACACTAGTAGCGATATGAACGGGAGGGCCATCGCAAAGGTACGTGCGAAAGAAAGGGCAGACGAAGGCAAGGAGGGGGAAACGCAGGGAGGAAGACGACGGCTGCTCAGGAAGCACGTTCGTCCCTGGAGGAGTGGGAGGGGCACGAAACCTGAAAAAATAGCATGGTTTGCGACTACCCTTCTCGCTCAGGCGGGGCCTCCCTGGAGGAGTGGGAGGGGCACGACACCTGATCAATAACGTGGTTTGCGAAGACCCTCCTCGCTCAGGCGGGGCCTCCCTGGAGGAGTGGGAGGGGCACGACACCTGATCAATAACATGGTTTGCGAAGACCCTCCTCGTTCAGGCGGGGCCTCCCTGGAGGAGTGGGAGGGGCACGACACCTGATCAATAACGTGGTTTGCGAAGACCCTCCTCGCTCAGGCGGGGCCTCCCTGGAGGAGTGGGAGGGGCACGAAACCTGAGACATGACATGGTTTGCGAAGACCCTCCTCGCTCAAGCGGGGCCTCCCTGGAGGAGTGGGAGTGCGGGCGGCCTCTCTGGCGTGACCTCCCTGGAGTGGTAGGTATGGTATGGTAGCTTCGGTATGGTAGGTGTGGTATGGTACGGTAGGTATGGGATGGTATGGTATGGCATGGCATGGCATGGTATGGTATGGTATGGTGTGGTAAATCTGGTATAGTAGGGCATGGCATGGTAGGTATTGTATTGTATGGTAGGGATGGTATGGTAGATATGGGAGGTCTGGTGTGCTAGGTGTGGCATGGTAGGTGTGGTATGGTAGGTATGGCATTGGTATGGTATGGTATGATAGGCATGGTATGGGATGGTAGGTATGGTAGAGGAGGAGGAGGAGGAGGATAAGGAGGAGGAGGAGGAGGAGCAGGAGGAGGAGGGTGAGGGGGAGGGGGAGGGGGAGGAGTTAGGAGGAGTTAGGAGGAGGAGAAGAAGGAGAAGGAGAGGGTGTTTTAGGAAAACAAGAACCCCACTCAGGATGTGGGGAAAAAACACGACGGACAGTTTTTCGCTGTTTCCTGCCTCTGGGGGTACTCGCCGGACCCCGGGACCGTCAAACAACTACTCAGGATGATCAACTGGTCATGGGGAAGGGGTCCAGACTTTTTGGGGTCACGACGTCGGGGGTCCGGGGGCGTGTCAAGGGCTTGGCATTACTCGGACGCTTGCATTTTTTCTCGGCGAGGAGCATCCTTGATCATGGTACCGGCAAGAGCCGCCACGCGAGCGAAGCATTCACGGGGAAGGGACGTCCGAGCGACGGCAAGGTCGAACGGTGTTCGCGGTTCGGTCGGTTCGGCCGCGCCGCGCCCAGTTGCGCTCGGCCGGTTCGGTTCGTGCGGTCATCGTGTCGTTGCCGCGCCGCTGCGCCTTTCCAGGCTGCGTGCCTGCGGCGTGTCGGTTTCGGCTTTTCCCTGCCGGTTCGGTCGGCCTTCGGTTTCGCTCTGCCGCCGTGGGACGGCCTCGCGTGTGGCGGTGGCACGAGTTGCGGGCGGAGCTCCGCAAGTTTCAACCTCGCGGGGCCCTCGCCGTGCCTCGTGACCGTCGGGGAAGAACTCGGGATGACACGCCGGTCGCAGGAATTGCCTCCTCGTCCTCCTCCTCGTCCTCCTCCTCCTCCTCCTCCTCCTCCTCCTCCTCCTCCTCCTCCTCCTCCTCTCCTCCTCTTCTCCTCCTCCTCCTCCTCCTCCTCCTCCTCCTCCTGCTGGGTCAAGACCTCTGGGTGCGCGCGCCATGGCCGCATCACGACGACGGGGGCCTGGGTGCCAGGCCTCGGGGGGCCGAGGAGCGAGGCGGCAGAGCGCCGGTCCCCCCCCCCCAGCTGCAGCCTCGGGAGCCTCGAGACGGGGGTCACTGCAAACGGGGGTCAGCCAGGGCGCCGGATCCTGCAGGATCCCGCGAAGACCCCCTCTGGCTGACCCGGGTCAGCGAGCCGCTCGTGGCCGCGAGGCGGCCGCGCACATTGGCCGACCCGGGTTTGCGAAGACCTGCGTTGCATTTTTTATGTTCCTGCATTGCAGGTTTTGGTTTCCTGCTGACCCGAGTCTGGATTGACCGGGGCCAGAAGACCCCCGACAGCCTCCGCGGGCGCCCTCGTCGCCACGGCTGGATATCCGCCTCGACGTTCTGGCCGGAGGGCATCCCTGGACAGGTCCCCAGAGATCCAGCGTAGTGAAAAAGTCGGGACGAAGGTTTTTCACAGTTTTCGGCCTCGAGGGGCCCTCGCCGGGCCCCAGGACCGTCAAAAAACGACTCAGGATTAAAAACCTGGGTCGAGACTTCCGGGGACCCCGTATTGAAAAAACACGACATCGGATCTCTGGGTCACCCGTACCCAGACTTCCGACGATCTACACAAATCGCACCCGATATGTTTGTATGCGTCCTCCGCTGGCTCCCTTGCGGGCCGTTTTCTTGTTTGAGACGTAGAAGAAACAAATGACACATCTCTTAAGCAAAAGAAGCGGCAAAACACAAAAAACCAAGTGGAGGAGCCTGTCGTGGGGAAGGGGGCGACGGCTCCCGGTGCCAAGGCCTCGAAACATCGGATCGCTGGAGGTCTTGGACCCCCCCCCGTCTTTCCCCGAAGAGCGCCTGCACCGAGGGGATCCCGCTTGTCCCTCCCCTGGGTGATGGGCTGGGCTCCCCGGGCCTCTGCCCTCTCGCCGCACATCGCCATCCTCCCTGAGATCTGGCGCTGCGACAAAACACACAGCGGCGCAACTGATCCACGGCCGGAGCCCTGGGCCCCATCCTTCTGCGCCGCTCTCCGAGCCGGACCGATCCGTGAGGAGGAGGAGGAGGAGGAGGAGGAGGAGGAGAAGGAGGAGGAGGAGGAGGAGGAGGAGGCTCGAACAGCAAGGCGGAGCATGCCCGGCTCGAAGAGAGACACCCAGACGCCAGGATCTCGGGGCCCGTCGCCGCCTGTCCTATCTGTATGTCCGCCCCAGCAGCATGGCACTGTTTCAAGGCATTCCCAGACGCCGCTGGCGCGAATCGTGACGTTACCGGGGGGGGAGGGGGGGGGGGTCGCCGCCCGTAACGGGCGCTATCGCGAGTGACAAAAGATGGTCTCCACATGGGGGGTGAAGAAAGAGGCCCTACAGGGGCCCCATTCGGGCCTCCTTTTGGGCGCCAGCAGGGGCCCACAACGGGCCCTAAAGAACCCCTTTAGGGCCCTTTTTTTCACCCCCCATTTGGGTCACCCCCCATTCCCAGACATCCAGCTGCTCCAATTCCTCCGAGGCGTGGGCCCCGGAGGCCCGGACCACTTCCCCGGGGCCGGTTTTTCATCCCGAGTCCTTTCTTGCCGTCCCGAGGGCCAGCGAGGGCCTCCAGAGGCCGACGACGGCCCAAACCCCGCCGCTCCAGTTTCTGTTGGAGCGTCGGATCTCTGGGTTGGCACCCGCCCACGAGAAGCCCCCGCCCCGCTCTCTCCGAGACGCCCGACGCCCCGGGGGGGGGCGAGGACTGCGGGCAGACCTTCCAGCCCAGCGCCTTCCTGGCCGAGGCGCCGCCGCCGGGCGCCGCCATGGCCGCCGCTGGGCTCCGGCCCTTTCGGGGGCGCTCGGGTCGCCCTGCGGCGCCCTCGGCGCAGTCATCCCCAGGCCGAGAGTTTTTGCCCTCTTGCATGGGGGCGCGTGGATCCATTCTGATCCAACTACGTGTGTGCGAGAGTCACGTAGATCTAATTTGCGCGTCTTCTGGATCCAACTTCTTCGCGTGGAAGCCCCCCCGCGTTGACAAAAATCACGGCGACGGGTTTTGTCGCTGCTCTCGGCCCCCCCGGGGCCCTCAGAGGGCCCCGGGGGCCGTCCACAGAACGGCTCCGGCCGAGAAGTTGGGTCCCGGGGAAGGGGCCCAGACCTCGGGTGGTCGACGTTGTGAGACAATCACGACGTCGGGGGTCTGGGCCTGCGGTGCCCTCGGCGGCTGCGACGGTGGCGCCGACGGCGGGCGGACGGCAGGCTTTTTCGTTATCCATGTCTAGGCCTCCCAGGCAGGGTCGGAGTACGTACACGGGGTCGGAGGATCGCGCCGCATCGCCGACGCATCTCCGAGGCGGCTCGATGTGCAGCCCGATTTGCTTCACGTCGACGTCGCCGATGCATCGCCGACGTCGACGATGCATCGCTGGTGCATCGCCGATGCATCGCCTATGTCTCGGTCCGCAAGCGGGCGTGGACGGAAGACTACGAACTCGAGTGGGCGAAAGACAATTGACATGTGGAGTTGTGCTCGCATTCTGCACGTTGCCCTCAGACGCCATACCCTCCGGTCTCGAACGGCGACGTACCAGGGCTCAACGAAATGTGCAAACGCGTGCCTGTGTAGGTGGTCGTCCCAACGGCATGCTGGACGACCTCGCCCACGGCGTGCTCCAGCGTGCGTGGCCGGCGGGCTTCAACTGGGTATGTACTCGTCGACTAGACGTAAGAGTGACCTTTCGCCGGAGTGACCTCTGTTGCGGGCATACATTGGACCCCAGATCGCCGAACGCGATGCAGTAATTAGCAGCGTCTTGCGCGGTTGTGCTTGGTCCCCCAGCGGCCCCCCAAAAAGCCGCGCAGCAAAGGTCACTCTTACCCAGGGTCACTCTTGCGTGTAGCCGAAGACTCGGTGCGCCCATCTGTCTGGTTTCTCTCTCTGCGCCGACCCACCGCACTGCTTTGCAGGTGGGCCAACCGCTCCCGCCATCTCGCAACCAGGCAGGATATCAGAGCCCTGTCGACCCTGTGGTTCAGGAGGGAAAGAAACACACAGACACAATTAATCGTCGACCCCCCAGAAAATATGGGAAAATATGGGAAGTGGTGGGGAAGACAGAAACCCAGAAAATATGGGAAAATATGGGGGATCTTTTTATTTGTGTGTATTTATTTGTGTGTCCCAGGGCCCCTTCAGTGTTCTGCTCTGCTCTCTGCCCCCGTGGCAGGCCTCGTACCCGGTCTCCTGCCCCGTGAACTGCGGCGCGGAGGACGTGGCCGTCTATGGCTGGGGCGGGGATGCCGGAGCAGTCGGGAGTGGCTGCGCAGCAGGTTTTCGAGGGCGCCGCGTGAGGGGGGGGTCATAAATGGGGGGGTGTCGCGGGTGGTCCGAAAAGGTACCCAAACGGTGCCTAAACGAGCCCCCTGGGGCTCTGGAGGGGCCCGAAAGGGGCACGAAAGGGGACCTTTTCTGACCCCCCCATTTGTGACCCCCCCATGAAGCCACGCCCAAGTGTTCGAGGGCGCCGGGGGGGGGAGGCCAGTGCTCCCCGCTCTCGAGGAGGGGATCGGCTACGGAATTGGTTCCCCCCGAGCGTGTTTTTTCTTCCGTCGACCCCTTACGGAAAATGCGCAGGATGCTGTGCGCAGGTCTATGGAGCACTCTATATGTGTTGCCTGTGGATCCCACGGTCAAATCAAGGTTGGCGTGCACCAATTCTGTAGGCGATCCCCTACTCGGCGCTTGCGCGGGCGATCTGTGTGCACCGTGCGGCGCTGGCGTCTCCCGCTGTGTCGTTGATCCTCGACGCAGGGGAGCACAGTGGAAACCCATGCCGAGGGTCCCAAGGTTGGGTTTCTGGTGGAAGGTTTCTTGTGGACTGGCCTCCTCTGTATCGACGTTCGGCCCCCCCCGGGGCCCAAAAGCTGTGCACCAGACCGCGCTGGAGCGGGTCCTGACGGGAGTCCGCACATGGTGCGGTGCGTGGGCGCCGTTCCCGTATGTGCCACCTGGCCTGCGGCCCGTCCCGCCGCCGTGTCTGGGTGGTAGGTTTAAGTCGGGCCTGTCCCCCTACAGGGGGGCTTTCGCCGAAAAATGAAAGAATCCAGCACAAATCCAAAAATAATCCAAGAATAGTCTGGGGACTGTTTTTTGAGTATTTTTGTTGGCCTTTTGGGGGGTCTTTCTGGGGTATCTTTTTATGTTTCGTCGGAAGCCCCCCTGTAGGGGGGCGCGCCCGACTTCACGGTGGGTCCGAGAGGCCGCTCGGGCTCTCGGGGCCTTCCTGTGGCCCGCTGTGGGCGCGCCTGGCGCCAACAAGAAAAGAAACATCGTGCGGGAGGCGCCGGGGAAGCGCAGAAAGAGGAGGACGAGGAGGTAGGAGAAGGAGGAGGTAGGAGAAGGAGGAGGAGGACGAGGAGGAGGAGGAGGAGGAGGGGAGGAGGAGGATGAGGAGGGGGGAGGGGGGAGGAGGGGAGGCGCACGCCGGGGAGCCCCGGGAACATCCGAGAAGGTGCGGCCCGCCCGAAATCCCGCGGGTGGAGGGCTTGAGGGCCACAGAGGCAAAAGGGCTCCCGCGAGGGCGCGAAGCGATTTTCGCGCTTCGCGGTCCTCGTGCCTGCTCCCCCAGCCTCCTCGTCCTCCTTTTCTCCCTTGGGGGGGGGGGGGCGGCGGGAGGGCGCGAGGTCATTCGCGCTTCGCGCTTCGTGGAGCGCGGAGCGCGAAGTTGGGAGCCCTATAGGAAGGCTCCGAGGGCACTCCAAGGCGTGCCTCGCAGCACGGTGGCGGATCTGGCGGACTTGTCACGAAGGCAGAGCGTCGGTGTGAGCACAATCGATTGGAGTTCCGCTCGGACTTCTTGGATCCGCGCGGCAGCCAGTGGGGTCCAGCGCCGATCCAAGAAGTCCGCGCGGGCCTCAGAGAAGTTAGGCTTATATTTTTCTGGAGTTGCACAACAATCTGGAGAGGATCGAGCTCCCATCTGACCTCAAGCGAGGACGCATTTGGTGGGCTCGCTTGCATGGCAATTCAGTGCCCTACGCACTCCTGTTTGTGTGACTTACTTGTTGCATTCGCATTGTTTAAGAGTAGTCCTTTTGCATCTGCACTTTTTTTCCAGTTGATGTGTTCCTCCCGGGGCTCGTACCCGGTTTTTTACAGGGCAAGTCTTGGACTTCAAGTTGTGTTGTTGGCCCCCAGTTTACAACAACCACGGCTCCCGCCGGAGACTTCCTCTCAATGCATTTCAAAGTTGTATTCTCGCGCGGGACTCCCTTTGAATGTATGAAGGAATCGCGTTCTCGCGCAGTACATCTTCACGATGTATTGCAGCGCCGTGCCCCTCTATCGGATGACACTTCCGTACGATTCATGCTGGATTGACGCTTCAGCGAACCGCCCGCTCGACCCGGTCGTCTGGGTCCGCCCGCCCGACCTGCCCGTTGGGGTCCGCCCGCCCGACCCGGCCGTCTGGTTTTGGCCGCTTGTACTCCTGCTCCCAATCTTCCTCCTGCAAAACTCTCTCGTGCTACATCCTTATGCCTCCCCCTTGTCTCTTCCCTCCTCCCTTCCTTGCCATGTTGTAGCGACTGCGCCAACTACACGCGGCATGTCAGGGGGGAGGGGGGTACGGTTGAAGACGAGGAGGGCGGGCGTCGAGGGTTTGGAAGACACAGTGCACGTGTTGAATGGCAAGCGAGCAGATACGAGCGAACAGCCTTATACGTATTACCGTTGTCGCTCCTCTATGGACCCCTCCCTCGGGACCCGCGCCTCATTCCGAGCCGTGCTCTGACGGCTCCCTGGGTCCGGCGAGGGCCCCGGGAGGCCGAAGCCTGCCAGAGCCAGGTGTCGCTAGAAGTGCCCCTGGCCCAAGGTTCACCACCCACCAAACCACCCCAACCCAACCCGAAGGCTCAGATTTGCCCTCGATTTCCAGTGGGGGGTTCTTCGGGGAACATCGAAAAAACACGTGTGGAACCCTTACCCCCCCCAACCCGAAATTCGGGTCTTCGGGTTGGGTTGGGGTGGTCTGGTAGGTAGTCAAAGGTGCCCCCCATGATTTCCAGGGAGGCCCCTACTGCCCCTCCAGAGCACCCCTCACGGGGCCCAGAGAGGGCCCCAGGGGCTCCAAGATGGGGCGAGAAGCTGGGAGCACCTTTGGCCAGGGGCACCTCTGGCACCCCCCGGCTGAGACCTTGCGCCATGCTTTTCCCCGCGATGCGAGGACGTCGGGGCCCTGGGGGGCAAAGCTGTGTCCCAGACCCGTTGCGAGGGTCCCGCGCGTTCTGACCAGCATTCGTTCGAGGTGGAGCTGGCCGTGGTGGCGACGAGCAGCCTCACCCCAGAGGCCCGGAGGAGGCGAGCAAAGTGTTGCAGCAGCTGCGGGCCTCGAGCTTCGATTCTAGCATGTGTTCTCACAGCGCGAGGATTCTAGGCCTCCCTGATGGGCTCGGAGTAGATATGGATGGGGTCGGAAGATCGCGCCGCATCGCCGATGCGGCTCGATGTGGGGCCCGTTTTTCTCCACGCCGACGGCGCTGGTGCATCTTCGACGCTGCCGATGCATGGCCGATGCATCGGCGATGCATCGCCGATGTATCGGAGATGCGGCGAGATCCTTCGACCCCATCCGCTCGGACCCCCTCTGGGAGGCCTCTGAGGATTCAGGAGGGAAAGAAACACACAGACACAATTAATCGTCGACTCCCGGGAAAATATGCAAAAATATGGGAAGTGGGGGGGAAGACAGAAACCACAAAAATATGGGAAAATATGGGGAATCATTTTGTTTGTGTGTATTTATTTGTGTGTCCTGGGGCCCCTTCAAGGATGTCCGGGAACTTCGGGGGGGGGCAGGCACGGACTACTACGCCAGCGAGTCCGCCGTCTGCCCCGCCGCCGTCCACCAGGGCGTGATCGGCAACGGCGGAGGAGGGGCCTCGTCGGCGTGGCGTCGTGGGGGTCTCCGGCGCTCGGAGGGGGAGGTGGAGACCCAGACCCCCTCGAGTCATGAAAAAATCACGACGGGAGGTTTTTCCTAATTTTCGGCCTCGGGGGGCCCTCACCGGGCCTCGGGAGTGTCAAAAAATCGACTCAGGATGCAAAGCCGGTCATGGAGAAAGGGTCGGGACCTACGGGTGTCGACGTAATGAAAAAATCATTACGTCGGGGGTCTGGGGAGCGAGGTTCAATGTCATCTGGTTGGCCCAACAGCGGGTCCAGCTAAAAGTGGGTGGTGCCACAGATCTGGTGCAGTAGACTGGTGGGTTGCAGCAGGTTTGGGGCGTGCAGTACACTCCTGGGCGCAATGGCATTGCTGATTTTCGCGCGCAATGCACGACTTGCAACACAATGCAATACAATTCTCCAGAGCAATGCATTTGCACTACAATCGCCCCAACTCTATTGCACCTTCCCCTTTTCAGCTGGACCCCCTTCTGGGTCAACCAAAAAATCATCGTTTTACATGAAATCACGAAGACGGGGGGGGGAGGGTGTTGGCCGTTTTCAGCCTCCATGGGCCCCTCGCGGGGCCCTGGGACCATCAACCAACGCCTCGGGACCAGAAGCCAGCCCGATCGACCCACGATCCCGTAAAGGAACATAGAAATGTCAGGCATGGCAGCGTTTTCAAGACACCTGATTGGACGACGGGCAATTGCAATGCTGAGTGAATCGATCTTGATGTACCGTGCCAAGGGCTGTGCTGTGCTGCGCCGTGCTGAATTGCGATGTGCCATGCCGCGATTGTGATTTATAGTTCTGTAGCCTTGTAGATCGAGTCCTTCTTTGCATCCAAGTCCTGACCGAACTGATCTGGATCTTAAGCTCGAGCTGCCTGAGCACATAGTTGCTGCCCCAGAGCTTTTTGACAGGGGGACATGCCAGGGGGACGCGCCGCGGAACGTCCTAAGGGACGCGCCAGGCGACGTGCCAGGGGACGTAACATGGGGACGCGCCGCGGGACGTGCCTTCAAGGGGACGCGCTACGGCACGTGCCAGTGGACGTGCCACGGGACGCGCCAGGAGACGCGCCCGGCGACGTGCCGGGGGGGCTCGCCACGGGATGCGCCACAGAACGTGCAAGGGAACGCGCCAGGTTGCAATGCTGAGTGTATCGATCTTGATGTACCGTGCCGAGGGCTGTGCTGCGCTGCGCCGTGCTGGATTGCGATGTGCCATGTCGCGACTGTGTTCTGTAGCGCTGTGGGGCCGAGTCCTTCTTTGCATCCGAGTCCTGACCGAACCGATCTGGATCTGAAGCTCGAGCTTCCTGAGCACATAGTAGCTGCCTCAGAGCTTTTTGACGGGGGGACATGCCAGGGGGACGCTCCGCGGAGCGTCCCAAGGGACGCGCCAGGCGACGTGCCAGGGGACGTTTTTGATTTATCCTCGGGGTATCGTCAGAACAGTAACTCCTGCACGGAGCCGACGCGCGACGGAAGGGCCCGATGGGGGCCGAAAGAAAGCGAAGGACGGGCCCCGGGAAACCACGAATAAGCGAGCGGAGGGACACGACCGAAGGAAAGGGGCCACGAAATAGCGAGGGCCCGAAAGCAGCAACGCGATGCTGGGAAAGCCTTGGAGGGGAATTTGACTTGCCCCTGCCCTGGCTCGTCGGAGGTCTTTACCTCACTTCCCCTCAGTCAAACCCAGGCGGCAGCAGAGCTCTTACTCTCTGTGCGAGCCTGGGCAAGGAAAGAAGGCAGATCAGGGCTGCATGAGGTCTCCCAAGCGCAAGCGGGACGGGTGCTTACTTCGAATGCGCCTCAATGTTCGGGAAGCCTCGCAGTCATACAGCCTCAAGAACAGGAACCTATAAACGATGCCGCCCCATAGAGAAAGCGGTAGAGAGTGATGTCATCCCACAACCAGCACAAAGAGAGAGAGAGAGAGAGGGAGAAACTAGCCTAGCCTCTTCTTTCTTGGTGAGCCTGGGCATAGTACAACACAAACAAGCAAAGCAGAGGATTTCACAAGCGCAAGCGGTACGGGTGCTTGCTTCCATTGCGTCTCAATGCTAGTGAAATCCTTGCAGCCAGGCGACCTCTGTAAGCTGGACAGGCTTGACTGAAAGAAGACCCATGGCCCGCAGCAGTGAGAGAAGCAATGTCGCATCTTCGTCGCTTGGCGAGCCTGGGCAAGGACTGACATAAACTTACACACATAAACCATAATTGTTTTACAAAATAAACACTTCTGCGGGTGTCGGTATCCAAGAGACTTCCCGCACCACGGCAAAAGAAGCACAAGCTATCCCTCCCCCTCATTAGCGAACCGCCCATATTAGTCTCCTGGCTGCAGCAGCGGCTGTAGCAGCCATTCAGGGTCGAAGGGGGCCTGGCAATTAGAAGCATCGGGTGGTTTAGGACACGCATAAATGACGCTGGCACAATCAACTGCAGCAGCATGTCGGATCGGGCGCATCGTGCGTGGGCCACGTCCATCACACATGAGCCTCAGGCGGGATATTGTGCCAGTGGCCCGAGGGGGCCCAGTGCAATCTTTACTCTGGTCCGCGACATGGTCGCTGGAGTAACGACCACAGCGGCGACAGAACATAATATCCTGAAGCCTTCGAAGACCCCCACCCCTGTAGGTGAGGAGCATTGGGAACGCGAAAGGTAGCTCGTGGAGGCCGAGCCAGCCCAACAATTCACACATCTAAACCGCCTTGCGGAAGGGTCCCAGACATGCGTATGCAGCGCTCCAGACACAGATCCCGACATTAGGAGGGCAGGGGGAGCCGGAGTCTGAATGTCACCAGAATGGGCAGTCCAAATGTTCTTGGGAACCTTCTTGAGAATTCATGAAATGCAGCGTCCGATCTAACGCAGCCTAGGTGTTTAACAAGGGTGTCAGACCGTTGAATCAGATCCTGCTGCGCAGTGTCATGAAAGTCTAAATCCGCACCTAGCTTGGCCAATATATCTGCTTGCCGATCCCCGGCATAGTGCGCATGGCGACGGTCGCCCTCGCGTACTTTGGTGACTCGAATTAAGTGATAGCCAATGCCAGTCGCTAAACAGTGGGCCTGGACCATAGGGGAGCAATGCTTAGCCCATCCACGGGCGGAGGCTTCGTAGCCCAGGGCCGAAACGTCGACGACGCATTGGCAATCGGTGACAAACTCATACTGCACAGATGGGGCAGCATGGATGAGGTAACATAGGAGGGCGTAGAGCTCGGCCGCAGGAGCGCCCTGAGCAAACGCAGGCAGGATACCATATGCTGCAACGGTCAACCCAGGGCAGTCGTGGGCGAAGTTCTGACCAAGGACGTTTCGGCACCTGGGAGCAAAGGAACAAACGCCCCATCTGCATCGGACCGCGAGAGTCGACGGTCCAAGCCCGCGCGCTGACGACGAGAAAAGAGGGCCATCAGTGGCGCGCCCCCAGACAGGGTCGGGGAAAGGCGGTGCGACAGGAGAGCTATACCGCGGGTCAGGAACAAGAGCTGTGGTCTAAACAGGATTGCCGCGGCGCTCGAAGTGGCACTTTCTTTGGAGACGAAAAGGGGCGCGCGCCGAAGTTCATTCCAAACGAAATTGAGGTTTTCTTGATGGTTTCGGTGTGCAGGCGCGCCCTGTCGCGCTGTGTTTTCCATGCGCATCGTAGAGCTTGCTGACGCATGGCGCGAGGAATTCGCTCTGCACGTTGCGAGGGGGAATTCGCTCTGCACGTTGCGTGCCAATCACGCGTGGCTTGAGCTACTTCGCACACGCTTTCCGGCGAGGTCCTTCGAGGGCCCTCTCAGGGCCCGCCGGGGCCTCCGAGTGCCCAGAGCTCCCGGCAGCCATGGTCGACAGTTGGCAAAAGCAACGCCGTCGACAGGGCCGCCGAAAGAGCCGTCGAAAGGGCCGCCGAAATTGCCGCCGAAAGGGCTGCCGCACGAGCCGTCGACAGGGCCGCCGCAATTGCGGCCGAAATTGCCGCCGAAATTGCCGCCGAAATCGCCGCCGAAATTGCCGCCAAACTCGCCGCCGAAATTTCCGCCGAAATTCCTGATTGTGCCGCCGAGAAAACGCCGAAATTGACTTTGGCTTTGGCTCACTGCGTGTGTCCGCGGCGTCATCGAGCTTGATGAAAATAATGATTTCGCTTGGGACAGGGCAATGACAATTTCGGCAGCTGAATTTCGGCGGCGATTTTGGCGGCTGAATTTCGGCGGCTATTTTGGCGGAGTTCGCAATTATTTCGGCGGCGATTTCGGCGGCGATTTCGGCGGCAAAGCCGGCGGCAAGTTCGGCGGCAATTTCGGCGGCAATTTCGGCGGCGATTTCGGCGGCGATTTCGGCGGCGATTTCGCCGACGGTCTCTGGCGCCCCTTCGGCGGCCCGCCTGGCGGCCCTTTCAAGGACCATGTCGGCGGTTTTGCTTTTGACAGCTGTCGACGAATGCTGCTGGGAGCACGCAGCACTCGGCTGTAGCAAAGAGTCGATGTGCGGCGACGCAGGCTGACGTGCCCTCAGTGCGATGATGAATGTGACATTTGTTTTTTTGTGGTCTGGATGGTGATGATGGCGACGGCCGCGGTGATGTTTTGTTCAAAATGGATGCTCGCCGGGGGGCGTTGCAGGCGGGCCTGCGCGCCCAGCATTACACGCTTTCAAAAACAAATAAATAAATAAATAAACGCATACAAAAAATAATAATAAAAAACGCGCATCGTCTTTTGAATTCGGCGGCTATTTCGGGGGTCGTGGTGGCTCCAAAGCATGGTCCTCGGTGGCGGCGCCGGCCGAGACAACGTGCGGGGACCTGCGTCGGACCAAACCAACAACGAAACTCACTGAGGGCATCGCGCTCATACAAGGCGTGAAAAACAGGGTCAGCAGGGATCAACTGGCACATGGGGCACATGGGTTTGAAATGAATTCCTCCCGCCAGGAAGGCCCCGCGAGCTCGCTGGTGCAGCGTGCCTCAACCTTC